AGCTCGGATCTACGATCCCCTTGGAATCGCAGCAGCCTTCCTGATTCGTGCCAAGATAGGGATGCAAAAACTGTGGTTGGCTGGACTACAGTGGGATGAAGATTTACCGACAGAATTCCAAGCTAACTGGTTACGATTCTTCCGAGAGATGAACGACCTGAATAACATCACCTTCGAGAGGTCCCTTACGCCAGACATCGTTATTGGAGCTCCTGTGCTTTGCATCTTTTCTGACGCGTCGATCGAAGCCTTTGGAGCGTGTGCATACGTTCGATGGGAGACCGAAACCAACACCTTTGTAACTAGATTTGTCGCTGCAAAGTCGAGAGTAGCCCCGCTAAAGTCTCTAACCATACCTCGCCTAGAGCTACAAGCAGCAGTCCTGGCAGTAAGATTATGTCGTTCAATAATTGAAGAGTCTCGGATGCAATTCGCAAGCATTATCTTCTTTTCTGACAGCCATATTGTCCTCTCGTGGATCCGCAACCAAGCTAGAGAGTTCAAACCGTTCGTGTCCGCCCGAGTCGCCGAGATCCAGAGCAAGTCAAAGCCAGAACAGTGGAGACACGTTCCCGGAGAGTTAAACGTCGCTGATGATGTGTCGCGAGGAATACCCGCTCAACAACTCAGTGGCAGATGGAAGTACGGTCCAGAGTTCTTGAAGTTACCTGAAGGAGAATGGCCAAAGGGGTCGGAGTGTGATAATGTTCCCAAGGAAGTTGATCAATCTGAACGTCGAAAGGCCCAACCCGTATTACAGGTAAACCAATCGTCAGAAGAACTCCTTCCGTGCAAGAAGTTCTCCAGTTGGAGGAAACTCATCCGAGTCACTGGGTACGTGCTCCGATTTATCCACCGGGTAAAAAACAAGCATCGAACGAAAGAAAACAGCGAACAAACCCAAACGAAGGACACACCCGAGGTTGAACCGACTTCCGCGAAAGAGTTGCAAGATGCAGAATCGTACTGGATAAAGCAAAGTCAAAAGTCACTACACGCTCGCCTGAGAAAGGGAGAACTTAAAGGACTAACGCCATTCATCGACAAAGAGGGTATTATCAGAGTTGGAGGACGCGTAAACAAAGCAGTGATCTCTTACGACGCTAAGCACCCGGTATTACTCCCACGTGAACACTGGACGTCTCTTCTGATTACTCGATATTACCACCAAATTGGCCATTCAGGAGTTGCAACAACCGTCGCAAAAATCAAGAAAAAGTATTGGATTATTCGATGTCATGATCTTGCTAAGTCGGTAAAGTTTCAATGCGTAGACTGCCGCCGAATTCAAGCGAAAGTCGAACAGCAGTTCATGTCAGATTTACCAATTACCCGTCTGGAGCCACTTACACCACCATTCCATCGCACGGCATGCGATTACTTCGGTCCATACCACGTTAAGATAGGTCGAAGCAAGACGACGAAGCATTATGGCGTTCTCTTTACTTGCTTGAATACCCGAGCCGTGCATCTGGAAATCGCAGTCGACTACTCCACAATGGAATTCCTACAAACGCTACGCAGATTCTTCGCAATACGAGGACAACCAGCCTTGATGATCTCTGATAACGGTACTCAACTGGTAGGAGCAGAGCGTGAACTCCGAGAGATGATAAAGGGATGGAATGAAAAAGAGTTAAAGGAATTCAGCGCTGAGAAAGGAATGGAGTGGAAGTTCATAACTCCAGTCGCGCCCCACCACAACGGATGCGCCGAAGCGATGGTAAAGAGTTCAAAGAAAGCCCTGAAGACCGCCATTGGTGAACAAGTTTTGACCCCATTTGAACTATACACATACTTGCTGGAAGCTGCTAACCTGATAAATCAAAGGCCTATTGGAAGGATTCCCAACGACCCAGATGATGGAAGTTTCCTGTGTCCCAATGATATTCTTCTTGGTCGAGCGTCAACTGTGGTACCGCAGGGACCATTCCGAGAGACGAAAAACCCACGACACCGTGTTGAATTTATTCAGAAGATTATCGATAGTTTTTGGAAGCGTTGGTACAGAGATGTTTTTCCATCACTAGTACCGAGGAAAAAATGGAAGGTCGAGAGAAGAAATGTCAGAGTTGATGATATCGTAGTCGTTCAAGATTCGAATGCCGTTCGTGGAAATTGGATTACTGGCAGAGTTGTTAACGTGTTTCCTGGAAAGGATGGAAAAATACGCAACCTGAAAGTGAAGACGGCAACCTCGTACTATGAAAGGCCTATCACCAAGATCGCAGTAATATATCCGGCAGAAGGACACGGAGATAAGTATTAAAGTTATGGGATGAGGAGGTATCCTCATCGCGGGGGGAGAGTGGATCGGTAGCGTGGTATTCACGTGAACCGCACGAACGCCGGAAGTGAACTTTGCACTTAACGATTGCATCAGACAATGAAATACAGATCGAACTGTTTTAGGTTTATATTTAAGGGAAATAAATTCTTAGTTTTGTTAAAAATATACGGCTAACCAGGAACTAAGTTGGATGCACTATTATCTAAGGAATATCGCCACAGAAGTAAGACATTTTCGAACAGTTTATTGACACATATAGCCTAGTAATATTGGATTTAAGTTACGATATCTAAATATTATTTAATTACTTTATTTACTTTATATAGATCGAATTGTACCTTGGTATATTTAATGATTCGTTATTAATTTATCAATAATACGATTTGCGATACTTCCTTTGCGTGTGCATGTGTGTTTATATGGATTTTGCTAACCGGTCGTCTCTGTTCTGAGGAAACAATCGTGGTTGCTTTCATCTTCCGTAATCCATTTGGTATGTCTTGGGACTGCTATATGAGAACACAGTTTTAACCTCTTTGTAGTTGATAAATTACTGTGTTGGCCTTGCCTTCTCTTGCTTCCGCGCCCTGCTTGTTGTAGTAGGGCTTTTGCTCCTTGTTCGGCAAAGTCTTTAACATTTTCCCCTTGGAGTACCGATCCTGACCAACTTCTGTGGCTGCTTGTAATGCTCTTTTGCCGACAACTTTAGCACCTTGTTTGAATAGAGGGATCACCTCGCAAGGCTCTTGAAAATACCTCCGATCCCATAACCTCTTTGAAAACGTGCACCACGATACCCAGCGATATTCTCACCACGTTGTTGTCTCAAGAAATGGTCTCTCAGTGACTCAGTAGTTTTTCGTCTACAACAAGTGTACCTCTCGGCATGTTGATGTGTTCAGTCACGCAGTCAACTGATGAAATAGCGCTTTGGACACTTGAAAATCACAGACCATACAGCGACAGCTTTTACAATTCGGATAAAAATCTGTCCGTGTGCATACGGGGCACGTACACAAACTGGATATGTATATATCTTTGTTACAACTGTTACAAGTTGCGTCAGCATCAGATTGTGTATCCTGACGGGACCACTTGTGGGCTAACACAGAAAGGACGTACATGTCCATTTACGATTAGGTTTTATCAATTTCCAATTCTGTAAGACCTTTTATAAAAATGCTCAATCCAGTTGGTTCGGGAATATCTGGATGATAAGGCGTCACGCAATATTTCAGAATTAGGTCTACAATGTCAGTTCCTCGTATATTATGTCCTCTGTAAACGATTTCTCCTTTTCCATTCCAAGTCAAAATCCTCGTAGAGGTTAAAATAGAATGAAGGATTTCTTCGGCTTCATGTTCACCATCAACGTCAAGATATTTAAGAATGTCTTCATGTCTCCATTGTTCTGGAGATGATCGTTTGTCGCTATCCATGATTGGAATGAGGAGATGCCCTTCATGCATATTATTTTATACTAATTCTGCAAGGACTTTCAAAAGTGGTCCAAGTACCAATCCCAGAAAGTCACTTCCCCCCTGAACAAGAATTTCCTTTTCGTTCTAAAACTTCTACTTCTGTCCGCTAAATCAGCTAGATCTTGTTTGAAAGGTCTGAGTTTGTCCTTTGTTTCTTTAGAGTATGTGAAATTTTCTATACAATGACACAAGCATCGAATTTGCTCAGGTGATGTAGAATTAAGAAGAGCTTGCTGTTGAGTTGGATGAGAAGTACATAAGAGCTCTACAAAAGGCCTGTACACATCAAAGTATGTCATCTCTCTTCAAGAGTTGGAACCTAAATGGTTCATTTACTCGAGGAACATGACTTTAAAAACGTTTTTGCGAATATAGATTGAATCATTGAAACTTAGATTGAATCATAGAGTGAGTCATTGAATCATTGAATGAATCATTGAATCATTGAATCAACTAAACGACCGTAGAGAGAAACTATGTGAAAAACTGTTTCGTGAAATTGAAGAAAATAAAGATCACAAACTTCACGGACTTTTACCAGAAATGAATAAGGCTGGTTATAACTTCAGAACAATTAAGAAATATAATCTCCCAACGATTAGAACAAATAGATTTAAGGACTCTTTTATCCTTGAGTACGCATCACCAAAGGAAATAAAAATGAACTTATTTTAAATATTTGAATGTATATATATATATATATATATATATATATATATATATATATATATATATATATATATATATATATATATATATATATATATATATGTATATATATATATATATATGGATATATATATGGATATATATGGATATATATGGATATGTATATATATATATGTATATATATGTATATATATATATATATA